AAAGCTTCCGGGATCGATTCTCTCAAGTCCAAAATAACTGAATTGGAGCGCATGAAAGATGAATTATCCTTAAAAGTTAGTGAGCTTGAACATCTAAAATCGGAGGATATATCAGAACCCACAGTTGGTGGAGATGTCGAAAAAAATATGCAGAGCGATGAACAAAGTTCCATAACCAAGTCTGACGATATATCTGCAATTAGTGAACCTATCAAAAATCTCAGTCAATATTTTATACGTAAAAAAAATATGGATCAAGTTAGAAAAATCGATGGTAATATCTCGGATCATACTAGGCATGATGGGATTACTGAACCATCAAAAGTCGATACTGAGATCAGCTCTAAGATAAATGAGGAAACTAACATTAACGAAATTAGTAAAGATATATTACTTGTTCAAGAGATAAAGAACGTGACACCTCACCTTGCACAGCTGGAAAATCATACTTCCTCTTTGATCGAATCGCATCCTCAGATTTCGGTGGGAGGAATAGAAGCAATCCCTGCTGTGGCAAGAACTTTGATGTCACCGCTATCAGCATATATTTTTCTTATTTTGTTGATTATCGCGGTTATGTGGTTCGTGGTATTGAGACGTACATGGGGATTGAAGAGGAAAAGTGAGCAGATGCAGGATGTGTGGGCTGGATAATAAGACTATCTATTTGAACTTGGGTATTTTTTATGTATAGAAAATATAATAGTTTTTAATCATGCCTAATATTTGTTGTAGTTGTAAGGAACCATCGTCGCCATTATATACAGATTGTATTGTTACACATTCCTTTATGGTAGTAGGGATGAGATTTCGCGGTGGTCATAAGTTTAAGAAATCAGATACCATCACTCTTGAACCGGAGCCTTCTAATACGTATGATAAGAATGCGATAAAAATTATGGTAGATGGTATCCATAAAGCCTATGTGGCAAAGGACGAGAATGTAAGTATAGGAGATTTGATGAGACGCTACCCTCGTTATCGGGTAAATGCCCATGGAAAAAAAAACTATAACCAATCGGCGTCTTTAAATCTCGAATATCCTTGGATGATTTGTGAGAGATGTCGCGATACACTACAAGCATCGAGGGACTATGACTATAGTTATTGGTGAATCTATTTGAAGTTGGGAGTTATTTATATACGAAAAATATTATTAATAATGTATATGTATCTTAGTAGATTGTGGCGATCTTAGCTAAGAATACTTAACAATATAATAGCACAGCTAATCAATTCAAGGCTTTAACATATTTCGTAAGCCATTTTTTAGCTTCTCTTTGGGAATATGCATCAATCTGCTTTTCTTTCTCATCTGAATCTTTGAGTTGCGGGATAACCAAAATTACTGGAAAAAAGAGCGCGAGAGCATGAATGAAGTCGCTTTCTTGGAATATAAACGCAACTTCGAGGCTAAAATGAAGGTCCCTACTACTCCATACAAAAAAGAATTAAAAAATCGATCTTTAGCTCTTATCGAATATATATAACCTAGCTAAATAGTAATTTCTGAAGCAGAGAAATTGCTACGTCCGGCTAGTTATTCATCTCAGGTAGGGGGTTTTTTGTCGCCTCTACAATTAATATAAGAAAAAATTCAAATAAAAAATTAATATTCCGATACCTGGATCATATAAAGGGGTTTTTGTGTCGTGTAATTTCACGTAAGTACTTTTGATATAATGTAAGGTAATTTATCCAATAACCATTTTTGGGTCGCGTATTTTTGATCAAGGTAAAATTATGCTTTGGGTGTCTACCAAATATATATATTATAAAATTATGCTTTGGGTGTCTACCAAATATATATATTATAAAATTATGCTTTGGACGTCTACCATATAAAGATATCAACTACACGAGAAATGGTTCAAAAAATATGAAACATAGCTGGTATTCGGTAGCATGTCAAGGTAAAATTATTACAGATATATATAATGCTTTGGATATAAAAATTGGTAGTATCCCAAAGTATTTTTAACATGAAGTGATAGTATTCGAAAGTATCAACTATGCAAGAAAGATTTCTAGGATCGTAAAACATAGTATACTGCCGGTAGTCACCCAAAGTAAAATTATTATAGAAAGATATATATTATAAAAATTATGCTTTGGACATCTACCAAATAACTGCTAACAATTTGGCACTACGTGCCTCATTATCAAATGCTTTGGTGTATTACCAGATATGCTAACAATTTGGCACTGCGTGCCTCATCATTGGATGCTTTGGTATATTACCAGATATGATAACAATTCGGCACTATGTGCCTCATCATCGGATGCTTTGGTATATTACCAGATATGCTAACAATTCGGCACTACATGCCTCAACTCTGGCCCTAATCGAGAAATTAATCAGAAAGCTAAGGCACTACGTGCCGGGTTCAGGCATAGCCCTCACATCGGGCCCACAAATGATGATATATGGCTGAATGCATCGTCAGATATATTTTTTACCCATGTAGCCTAATAGTAGAAATCGGCCACAATCATCAAACCAGCATACGAATGACGAGGCAAAAGCAAAACGCATGCCACACTGGCACATGTCTCAGTAGCTCTTAAATGGCAATATAAATGCGATCTACATATCATCAAATCATTAAAAGGAAGCAAATAACAAGCTTATTAGAGGTCAAAATGAGTAGCTATAAAATAAGTAGGTAGCAGTCTAATCATAAGTAGGTAGCAGTCTAACATAAGTAGGTCGCAATATATATATATTGCAACCTACTCAGGGTTTTTTTCTTTACATTGGAAATTGAACCACTTACCTCTGTGTCCATTGTTCGCTTTTTATTCATTACATTATATGGAGTATACTGCAACAAAACCAGACAAAGTGAATATTGATGTTACCAAGAATTTCAGGGATCAATAGTGTTTGTTTAACATCACAATTGTGTTACAATATAATGTATTCAATGATATTTATCTAGACAAAAATAGTTAATATGAAACTCATTTACATCAGGTCTACTATGGAACCAAAGAATTACAGCACCATTAGAAGTATTTTGAAAAAGGAACAAGGTGAAAAAATTGCTCCTTATATTTTTAAATTAGCAGGTCATATTATCATAATACTGTTGAAGGTATAAATATACATGTATAATTTTTGAGAGTCGAGTTAAAGACATCATGTTAATAATCTCTGAATTAATAATAATAATAATAATCTTATCTCTTAATAAAATTTTCTACTTTTTTACATCAAACATATTTTTCCGCCTGAAATAAAATAATCCCATTTTTTATATAAACCAACTTATTTACAAAATTTGTTGCTGAAGAAAGCAAGCCCATAAACCCACCTCTAATTAAAATCATGATTAGCAGTTTGGCCAACTCTAATCATTAGTCTCTTCACAAAACATATATTAAAAGATGTATCACAAAGGTACACAGGAAAAGACTTACCAAGAAAAGTAAGCAAAAAGGATTTGCCGAAAAAGTGCAAGCAAATTAGGCTATTATGAAAAGCATAAGTAGATTTAATCTTATGAGAAATGTAAGCAGAAGTGCAAATCATAACTAATTGGACAATCTGTGAGATCACTATATCACACTGGTATATAATATATTGCTGATCCAAGACAGCCTAGATTAAAAAAACAATCAGCCAAGGTTACATTTTTTATTGGTTGAAGGGCTGTAATTAATTGATGTATGTCATTGCTTTAATGCATAAACTACTTAATATTTCCGGTTTTGTTTTTTTTGGAAACAGTAAAACGAATTGGGTGGGTATGATTTATTAAAAACAGACAGCTTGTTAATTTATTTATTTATGTGTAATAATAACAAATAAGCATTAATGTATAATCCTATTAATATTTTTAAATTTTGTGCTTTTATTGAATTAATTCGAATTATATATATTATAGAGAAATTATTTGTTTATAAATATATATGCATGTATTAATATCTTATAATTGGTTTTGCAATATTAAATAAAGCCTATGCGAGTAATTATTGATATTTAATTATACAATTTCTGTTTTTTTGTTGATGGATGGATTCTGTCATTTTCATAGTTTTCCATTTTGTGTAGGATCTTTATATTTTTTGATAATGCCTATCAAACAATTAACTCTATGTTCTGAATATACATGAAGTCATATAATCATTTAAGTTTTTTCCTTCTTCACTAACACCAAGACTTTGTAGCCATAAATTGTAATTAAGAGTTACATTATGGTTTCCATCCTTTGTGTGTATGCCAATATATTCACAGAACTGGAAAAATCTGTGGTCGAGGATGTTATATTCATTGTAAATCTCCAGTACGTACTCCTTGTAGAGATTGTGGTGAGCTAAATAGTTCTATACATAATGCATGCTATAAACATGTAGGCAAATATCAAAGTAGAGAGAATTATCGCAGAAAAAAGCAGGATGAATTACGTGCAAAAATTGTTATGTTTGAGAATCTGCCTGACTTATCTAATTCTGGGTATGAATAGAAAGTTATAAAACTAGGGGAAATATCTTGATATATAAGGAATAACTCACCTTACTATAGGCCATTTTTCGCTGGCTTCGAGCATATATGCAAGAAGGTGGGAATGCGGTAAGCTAACATATTCTACATATGGTGCATGCTGGAATCATGCAAGTAAGTATCGAAAAAGAGAATATTATCATCAAAAAAAGCAGGCTGAATTACATGCAAAAATTGTTATGCTTGAGAATCATATACCTGACTTACCCAATTCTAGGCATGAACTATAATCATATGCTTGGCATATACCGATTGTTTTT